GCAATTAGCCAGGCAATGAGGAAGGACATATATTTCAAAGCCTTGAAACTTGCGTGCACAAAGTTTTCATTCCAAATGCTTAGAGCGGGGTAATGAGGACAGAGGACAAAGTAAAACATGCTTTAAAAAAAAAAAAAAGAGGCTCACTGTAACAAGAATAAGCACCAATCTCTACTTTAGGTGTGTTTTAAGAGGTGTGTGTACCAGTTTTAACCTTTTGAGTGGCGAGGATCAACTCACTAGACAACAGTACTTACACATGAGGTAGACTTCTTGTAACAGCAATGAAGAGCTACTAAAGGGTTTTTATTTTAGGGACTAGAATAGCTTTGATTAAAGTTGCTTACATGGCAGCACATGGCATCTACCTGGTTATTATCCTCTACCACAAGGCAACACCTTTTAAACTATGTTTAAATGTGAATATGTATATATTTTTAATAGCTCCTGCACTAGGTTTCCATGTGGCTTGTTCAAGAGTGTTTTTTAACTGTTAGTTTTCCCTCCAAATATGATACACATATGAGCTCAGAGTCACACTGTGAGAGACACACACAAGACTATCCATACATGATCTAGCCAGAAAGAATTCTATCATGGAAGAGGGAAGTGACACCATAGTCCCACCCCAAGCTGACAAGCTGTAACAAGGCATTTGATTGGCTATAGGAAAGTTAGTTTTTTTAATGATGTGACCCTGGTATAACTGACCACATCCAGGAGCAGTTGGTCAACACAGACTGGATTTGATGGGTGGAGATGATAAAGTTCGGTGGGTAGCACAGTGGGAAAAGAACTGGGAGGACTTGGGGAGGGGACATATATTAATTATTAAATTATTATATTATCAAAAAATTAATAAAAACATTATCAGATGGCGGAGAGAGTTCTGTTTAAAGACCAGGAGTACAAGGAGAATCAGAACCACTACAACCAGGCCAGTTAGGAGACAATTGTAGCAATGCAGAATAAAGTTGGTGATGGCTGCTCAGGTAAGAAACGAAGCAAAGTTGTTTACAAAATGAAACCTAAAGCCTTGGTTAGGAAAGGAGAACATGTGCATCCTGGTACAACCTAGGTGGGCGTCTCTGGACCAGGATTACACACTAAAGAGATGGGAGCAGGGATGAAGACACACTGACTGACACAGATGGGGCCACGACTGAACACACACCGACTGATGCCTGGGGTATTGTGGTGTACGGATGAGAATGCCTATAGGCTCAGATGTTTAGATATTTAGTCTCCAGTTGGTGGTGCTGTTTGGTGAGGTTTAGGAAGTGTGGCCTTGCTGGAGGAAGTATATCACTAGAGGCAAGCTTTGAAGTTTCAGACCTGTGATGGTTTGTATACCCTTGGCCCAGGGAGTGGCACTAGTAGGAGGTGTGGCCTTGTTGGAGTAGGTGTGCCACTGTGGGCATGGGCTTTAAGACCCTCATCCTAGCTGCCTGGAAGTCAGTATTCTACTAGCAGCCTTCAGATAAAGATGTAGAACTTTCAGCTCTGCCTGCACCATGCCTGCCTGGATGCTGCCATGTTCCCACCTTGATGATGATAGACTGAACCTCTGAACCTGTAAACCAGCCCCAATTAAATGTTGTCCTTTATAAAACTTGCCTTGGTCCTGGTGTCTGCTCACAGCAGTAAAACCCTAACTAAGACAAGAGCCAAGCACCATTTATAGCTTGCTCTTTCAGATTCCTGCTCAGTTCAGGGAGTGAACTTTTAGCTGTTTGAGCCACCATGCCTGCAGCCTGCCTCTGCTCTGCCAACATGGATTTTTAACTTTCTGGAACCCTACACCCATGTAAACCCTTCTTTCTATAAGGTGCCTTGGCCATGGTGTTTCATTACAGGAATAAAAAGGGAACGCATACAGGAATAGACGTAGGGGATTTAGGTGGAGTGGGCAGTGATGATCATCAAAATCCATTGCACGCACTAATGAAATTCTCAAAGAATAAAAAATATTATATTAAAAAAGAAGTTAATGCCTTGATTAGACAAAGTATAACTTCCATACTAACAATACTACTCTTCTACAAGTAATATCAAATGGTAGTATTTAAATTTTCTAAAATATGAGACAAGAATAAATATAATACACCCAAAAATGTTTTGACATGTTAATTTAAAAAGCAAAGTATACCCCCTCAATACATACACACACACTCCCAAACAGTGAGATAACGGTAAAAGTAAAAAGATACAAATTCAAATATGAATGAAAGAATAAGAAGTCCATAAATAAACCTATGAATTTATAACCAACAATTCTTTAACCAAAATACTAAGAATATAACGGAGAAAAGACAGCGTCTTTAATAAACTGTGCTGGGCAATACATAAACAAAAAAAAAAAATCAGTTGTTGGGGGCTGGAGAAATGGCTGAGAGCACTGGCTACTCTCTCAGAGGTCCTGAGTTCAATCCCCTATAACCACATGGTGGCTCACAGCCATCTACAATGGGATTCGATGCCCTCTTTGGTGTGCAGATGTGCATGAAGACAGAACACATAAATAAATCTTTTAAAAAGGAGTTTAAGGGGCTGGAGAGATGGCTCAGTGGTTAAGAGCACTGACTGCTCTTCCAGAGGTCCTGAGTTCAAATCCCAGCAACCACATGGTGGCTCACAACCATCTGTAATGAGATCTGATGCCCTCTTCTGGTGTGTCTGAAGACAGCTACAGTGTATTCATATATAATAAATAAATAAATTTAAAAAAAAAAAGGAGTTTAAAATATAATCCCTGAAATACATTTAACAAAAGCAGAAACAGGGAGACGGGATAAAATTAGACTGGGAAGCTTCTGCACCGAAGGTATAAAGAGACAAGCTACAGAATGATGGAACCTACTCTGCAGCTATGTATCCAACAGGGGCTTGAGAGTCATGACATATGTAAAGAATCCAGACAACTCAGTAACAAGAAAAGAGCCTTTTTCAAAATATGCAAATGGCCTAGATAGATAGTTCTGTCAAACAGCAAATGTCAAAGAGGACATGAGAAATGCTCAGAACCCCTAGTCAAGGAATAGCCCAAAAATTCTAATAAAGAAGCTGTGGTAGTTTGAGTATGCCTAGCCCAGGGAGTGGCACTATTTGGAGGTGTGGCTTTGTTGGAGTAGGTGTGTACTATGGCCTTGGGCTTTAAGACCCTCATCCTAGCTGCCTGGAAGCCGGAATTCTGCTAGCAGTCAACAGATGAAGATGTAGAACTCTCAGTTCCTCCTGTACCAAGCCTGCCTGGATGCTGCCATGTTCCTGCCTTGATGATAATGGACTGAACCTCTGAACCTGTAAGCCAGCCCAATTAAATGTTGTCTTTATAAGAGTTGCCTTGGTCATGGTGTCTGTTCACAGCAGTAAAATCCTAACTAAGATAGAAGCCAAACAATAACAAGCTTTGGTGAGGACGTGGATGGAAAAAAGTAAACCCATGTGTACTATTAGTAAAAATACAAACTAGTATGGCTATTATGAAAAGCAGTGAAAATTAAAAACACAGCAACCAGTTGACCTCACACCTAGATAGATATCCAAAAAATATAAATTCAGTGTACTCAAGAGAGAGATGCAATGCCATACCCATCACAGCAATAGCTACAACAGCCCAAATGCAAGATCCTCTAAGTATCCACTAATAAATGGAGAATGTGATTTACAGACAACAGAAAAATATTCAGTACTCAGGAAAAAGTCCTGTCGTTCATGACAACCTGGCTGAGTCTGTAGGACACAATGCAAAGTGAAATAAAGCAGACACACAGACACACACTGCATGAGCTACAGTCAGTGCAGCAGAGCCACACTCATGACAACAGGCACTAGACATTAGGGTGTTTGAGGAAGTAGGGAGATGTCTGTTGATGGGTATAAAATTTCCAGTAGGAGAAATAAATTGAAGAAATATACGTCATAACTATAACTCATAATATGCTTTATACTTGTAAGCTAGTGAGAGAATAGATTTTGTGTACTCATACCACACAATGTACATGATAAAATGTGTATGATAAATACCTTGATTTAACTATTCTATAATGTGTGTTTGTGTGTGTGTGTGTGTGTGTGTGTGTGTGTGTATCACTTGGTATGCATGATTTCTAACTTATCAATTAAAAAATTTTAAAAGTTCTCCAAACAAAAACAAAAAGCAAAATATGATTACCACTTTTCACTTCTGACCATTCATATATACCTACTAGAGATTTAACTAAAATAAAATTCAAGATATGACAATTTTACTTCCAATTAATAGTAATGTTAAAAATCCTGCTATGTTTACTGTAGGTTTATTTTTTTTCTTATTCTACTAAATTGTATGAGATTAATTTAATGAAACAAAAACTGTCCTAGTATCGTCATGCACGCACGCGCGCGCGCGCGTGCGCGCGCACACACACACACACACACACACACACACACACACACACACACACAGGAAAGCTGACTCAGTGGGGAAAAATGTGTACTGCTCTTCCAGAGGACTGGAATTCAGTTCCCAGCACCCCTGTCAGGAAGCTCACAGTTTCCTGCTAACTCCAGCCCTGGGGTTCCCCAAACCCTCTTCTGGCTTCCACAGGCACCACACTCACATGCACAAACCCACACTCACATGCACACAATCAAAAGTAAAAATGAAATCTTTAAAAAGATACAGTCCTCTTTAAAGACATACAGGTAAGACAGAGACTCGTCTCTTTACCGCTGCCTTGACAAAGTCTGCAAACGGATGACTGTGCTGAAATACAGCACATAGTAGCGCACTTTAAATAAAAACCATATCCTTAATTGTGGCTCTAGTCAACTTATTGACTTTGAGTGTCAAAGGTCTCTTTCCTCTCAAATTTCCAGCATCCCAATCACACCCGCCTTCTGTGTTTGTGGGGGAATACATGGGAATATTTTGGGAGATGTTTCCTCAATCGTAAACCACTATCAAAACAGTACTTCTATGAATAAAAAAGAAAAAGAAAAACCAATGGGACAAAGTGTATGGACTGCTCAGCATATTGTCAGCTCTGTTGTTTATACAATTTCATGGGAAGGCCATATACATCTTAAAGGAATAAGGAAAACATTCAGTGTCTAATAACATTAAACAGTATAACATTGTTCCATAGAAAACTTGTATGTTTATGTAGAACAGGTCAGTCCTGAGAAACAGCGTCAGCTCAGAAGTTCATGTCCCATCCATCGTCCTCTGTGAGACTGCTCTTGCTGAATCCACACCAGACATCCAAAGTTAGCAGAGTGTCCACTCTGAAGCTCTAATTAGACCTCCACACTTCATCTAAGGCTACATACAGCTTAGAGGAACAAAGTTTTCACGTGGTGGTGTAAATACTCTGAGGTAATATAGTAACGATTTCATTTGTTCTTGGCTGTGTGTTGACTCCCAAACAGTGCCTGTTTTTTTTTTGGTTTTTTTTTTTTTTTCAAATGATGTCAACTGAAAAGGATGATATGGGGAGGAGGGAGGTAAATACTGCTCACAATAAAATTTCAATCACTTCAACACGTGATGTAATGACGTATGTGATTTCTGCCAAGTCCTCCAATACAGGGATGGCTGTAATTCCGGCCAACATGCAAAGCACCGTGATGTCAGAGCAAGGGCCAGGATTTCCAAGTACCTTAAAGAAAGAACAGTCCAGCGGTCTCATGGCCTAGCTGGATATAGTTATATTGAGGAATGTGAAGTTTAAAATAGACACCACTTACTTTAATTCTATCAGAAATATATCATCTTCAAAAACCTGTTTCTTAAAATACTCATGTACTTTATTTCATAATTATGATTCTCTCATGGTGTTTTCAACCTTATCCATAGAAAATAGATTTCAAAATTTACCAATGACTCCTATAGAAGACTGTGTGTGTATGTGTGTGCACACACATATATACACACATAGACACACATCACAGAAATCTAATCAAAACTGGCTTTATATATTCATATGAGCAAACGTGTGTAATATGATGCTACAGGAATGGTATGAAATTGTTTTATGTGTGTGAAAAACAAATTCTCTGAAAACATTCTCCTTAAAAAGGAAAGATAAAGAATTATTAAAATAGTATTAATTAAATTTTTTATAGTTACAAATACTGCCAAATATAGCAAGATAAATTGCCTTTTTACTTCTAATGATACACATTTACTGGAATGTACAAGTAATGATTTTAAGTCACTTGCTCGTATGCCCTGACATTGTGCTTTGATTTTACATGGGTGCCTTCCTGAAGCCTCCCTGTCACTTAAGGTGACCCTCCTTTCACATTTCCAAGTTGCTTCATAAGCTCAGTAGGGTCAAGAGTTTTCCATTTGTAAACTCGGTAATTCTATAATTTATTAATCTGATTGGACTTTTTACAACAATTAAATAATTATAGATTAAGTACATAATTTTAATACCATCTAAACTGTAAGCCTACTTTTCTTTTACATTAGCCCTAAAAGCATCTCTTTTTTGTAAATAATAGTAAACTATTAACAAAACAAAGAGAAATAAATTCAGCAATCTGCATGAGCACACCAGGTCTTCATTTGTCTTGTAAAAATGCTTATGATGAGACACTCAAGTTAGGAAGTGACATTTCTCATTAGATGTGTGGCTGTGTGACAGTGTGTGCAGCCTTCACTGGGCCACCCAGCTGATTGTACCGTTTGCTTGCACCCAAGGGTTCCTCAACAGGGTTTGGAACAGCCACCGCTTCACCATGCGCTTTATTTTCACATAAAAGAAAACTTCCCACTGAGTGGTTACATCCTTATTTGAAACACAACCTTCCTTCTCCAGAGCTCTAACCCACATTCTCATGGCCACGGCAGCTACTCAAGGGCCATCCTCTTCATCTGATGGAGAAGCTCGTCTCTGGCTGAGTGAGCCTCCGCAAGCTCTATCTTAGCTTGAGCCAGCTTCTGCCTAAGACACTCGTTTTCCTCCATGAGCTGAAAAGACATTTGGAAAACAAGAGGTTTTAATCACATCCCGAAAATGTAACTATTTCATGCAGCATCACTCGGGATGGTAAACCACCCTGTGCTGGTGCTGGTCAACTGCAGCATCACTCGGGATGG